AATAATGATAATAATAATGCAAATAATAATAATAATAATAATAATAATAATAATAATAATAATAATAATAATAATAAAATTAATAATAATAATAATAATAATAATAATAATAATAATAATAATAATAATAATAATAATAATAATAATAATAAATACGAGGGAAAGCATCTAAGGCATGATTCTCAGTCAAGAGCAGATTATCAAGAAATATCCATTTTAATGTTTGGATACAAAGATGTTGACTATTAAGTCAGTTTTACCTGAAAGTTGGGGTTTTAGCCCTGACACCTTGCACCGAAAATTAATATCTTAAGTAATCACTTACTTACTGTAAACTACATCTGTGAGAGTTAATAAGGAATAATTTTGTTTCGCTTCGTTTTTGATGCTTTATGACAATGCAACAAAATAGGTTATATAGTGCCGAGACAATTGAAGTAACATGCCGTGCCGAAGGTAGCTGACACATGCTGGTCCCATGGTAGGATTCGAACCAGTACCCTTTCGGTCGTTGTGTCAGGCATGTTAAACATTGAACCACCGAATCTCCTAGCTTGAAATCATTTTATATTGATAAACTGAGTAAATACTGGTTGAAATATCTGAAAATGTCCAATAGTCGATTTTCTAAACTGTGTTGTACTATGTGCTTAAATTGTATGTTACTAAAAATTGTACTTCCCGATTTCAAGGAAAAGAAATATGTACTTACTGCACACCATTGGACCATTTGGAGTCTTTTTACGAAGGTTTTGGCATGGAATTAGTTTTCAGAAGTTTATATGATTATAAACAAAACCTGACGTAAAAAATAAATAAAAATAAATAGCCGAATAGCTTACAGGATCATTAGGCGAGTCGTTTGTAAGGAGCCATATACAAATAGTATTAAAACATATCGTACAGTAAATAATGTTGTAACTCAAGAGGCAAATATTTTCATGAAAGTGTAACAAAGAAAGGTATCTTTATACCCTAACCATGAAAGAATATAGAACTTGTATTAATCCTATCTTGAATCTGAATGATACTTTACGTTTCTAAGGTGATCGGAAAAAAAACATCAGTCATTTGATCAGAATATTTGCATCATTAACCCTGAAGATAATATTGTTTTGCTCTCCCTTGAGAAGTGAACAAATGGCGTTACTTTCTTTATGTAGATTTATATTATATGCATATTAATAGGAAAATTAAAATTATTGTACCACAAACACTGTATTAAGTTAAAGACAACTTACATGTTCGCATCTCACTCTACAGTTGTGTTTATTAACAATGTATATATGTTATTTGTAATTTGGTCCTGTAGGCTAATAAAGATAAAATCCATGAGGAGTTTATATTGAAACTCCCTTTGTATTGCATTTGATGGCAGAACTGTATCACGTCATTGTGAAATTGCCATTTATTGAATAAAAAAAAATCTGCATAACATTAGTGTTATCTTCAATGCATTTTCTTTTACAATTTGAGTATTATGGATCCTTGATCAATTTTTTATATTTTTGTAGCCCCTGTTTAATATTTTCTGTATTCCATATTCAATCCTTTCTGTATCCAATGTTCAATTCCTCCTGTATCCAATGTTCTATCCTTTCTGTATTCAGTGTTCAATCCTTTCTGTATTCAATGTTCAATTCTGTCTGTATCCAATGTTCAATCCTTTCTGTATACAAAGTTCAATCTTTCCGTATCCAATGTTCAGTCCTTTCCGTATCCAATGTTCCATAATTTATGTATTCAATGGTCAATCCTTTCTGTATTCAGTGTTCAGTTCTCTCTGTATTCAATGTTCAATCCTTTCTGTCGTCAATGATCAATCCTTTCTGTAGCCAATGTTCAATCCTTTCTGTATGCAATGTTCAATTTCTCTGTAGTTAGTGTTAAATCCTCTCTGTATTCAATATTTTATCAATATTCGTATGATTTGTTAATTACACCTAAGAGTAAATCTAAGATAATTCAAGAATGAAATTATTGTATATATCAATTATGGATGAAAATGAATACGGATAAGAAAATTAAGCCAGTTTATATAAAAGACAATCAAATGGAGCCCTAATATTTCATCAACTCTCAAGCATCGTTAAAAATAACCACAGTTCGTATGTATTGCTGCTCGAAAATTATTTAGTTAATCACTTTCTTACCGATTGATTCTCAACTACAGGTGGTCAGAAATAATATAATTTATATAGTGTTCTTTAAATGCAAAATGCATTTTAGACAAAGGAACACAACCCTCTTCACGACTCTAAAATGCGTCATTTCTGATACTGTAACTGTCGTATACAAATTTTAATATGATTGACATTGAATAGAATCGTTTTAGTGAATGAAAACCTGAAAAGGTACAATAGCGCATTTGCACCAGAAAAAAAAGATGGCATTCTGATTTATTTGTCATATAGTGACATTTCTGATTTATTTATCACTATGGTGACCATCTATTTTTACTTGTAACAATGATGACCATCCATAATTACTTGTCACTATGGTGACAATCCTGATTTATTTTGTCACTATGGCCACCATTCTTATTTATTTGTCACTATGGTTACCATTCTGATTTTTGTCGCTATGGTAACATTTTTGAATTTTTTGTTAGTATGGTTAACCATGGTCTGATTCAGCTTCTGACCTAAATGCAAGCTGAATAAAATGTTCCGAAGCATGTCTTGAAACATTCAAGGCGTATATGAATCAAACAAAATGTTTTGAAGTATTCTTGAGATATTTAAGGCATATATGAACCAGACAAAATGTTTTGAAGTATTCTTGAGACATTTAAGGCATATATGAACAAAACAAAATGTTCCGAAGTATGTCTTGAAACATTTAAGGCTTATGGGAACCAAACAAAATTTTCAGAAGTATGTATTGAGACATTTAAGGCGTATATGAACCAAACAAAATGTTCTGAAGTATGACTTGCATTTGAGGTGTATATAAACCAAACAAAATGTTCCGAAGTATGTCTTAAAACATTTAAAGAGTATATGAACCAAACAAAATGTTCAGAATTATGTCTTGAAACATTTAAGGCGTTTATGAACCAAACACAAAGTTCCGAGGTATGTCCTGAGACATATGAGGCCTATATGAACCAAACAAAATGTTCCAAAGTATGTCTTGAGATATTTAAGGCGTATATGAACCAAACAAAATGTTCTGAAGTATTCTTGAGACATTTAAAGCGTATATGAACCAAACAAAATGTTCCGAAGTATGACTTGAGGCATTTGAAGTGTATATAGACCAAACAAAATGTTCTAAAGCATGTCTTGAAACATTTGAAGCGTATATGAACCAAACAAAATGTTCCGAAGTATGTCTTGAATCGTTTAAGGCGTATATGAACCAAACAAAACGTTCCAAAGTATGTCTTGAGACATTTAAGGCGTATATGAACCAAACAAAAAGTTCCAAAGAATGTCTCGAGACATCTAAGGCGTATATGAACCAAACTAAATGTTCCAAAGTATGTCTATAGACATTTAAGGCGTATATATGAATCAAACAAAATGTTTTGAAGTATTATTGAGACATTTAAGGCGTATATGAACCAAACAAAATGTTCCGAAGTATGACTTGAGACATTTGAGGTGTATATAAACCAAACAAAATGTTCCAAAGCATGTCTTGAAACATTCAAAGCGCATATAAACCAAACAAAATGTTCCGAAGTATGTCTTGAATCATTTAAGACGTACATGAGCCAAACAAAATGTTCCAAAGTATGTCTTAAAACATTGAAGGCGTATATGAACCAAACAAAATGTTTTGAAGTATTCTTGAGATATTTAAGGCGTATATGAACCAAACAAAATGTTCCGAAGTATGACTTGAGACATTTGAGGTGTATATAAACCAAACAAAATGTTTCAAAGCATGTCTTGAAACATTTAAAGCGCATATAAACCAAACAAAATGTTCCGAAGTATGTCTTGAATCATTTAAGGCGTATATGAACCAAACAAAATATTCCGAAGTATGTCTTGAAACATTTAAAGCGTATATGAACCAAACAAAATGTTCCGAAGTATGTCTTGAAACATTTAAAGCGTATATGAACCAAACAAAATGTTCCGAAGTATGTCTTGAAACATTTGAGGCGTATATATGAACCAATTTGAAACATTTGAGGCGTATATATGAACCAAACAAAATGTTCCAAAGAATGTCTCGAGACATTTATGGCGTATATGAAACAAACAAAATGTTCCAAAGTATGTCTTGAGACATTTGAGGCGTATATGAACCAAACAAAATGTTTTGAAGCATTATTGAAACATTTGAGGCGGATATGAACCAAACAAAATGTTCCGAAGTATGTCTTATAACATTTAAGGCGTATATGAACCAAACAAAATGTTCTGGAGTATGTCTTGAGACATTTAAGGCGTATATGAACCAAACAAAATGTTTCGAAGAATGTCTTAAAACATTTAAGGCTTATATGAACCAAACAAAATGTTCCGAAGTATGTCTTGAGACATTTGAGACGTATGTGAACCAAACAAAATGTTCCGAAGTATGTCTTGAGACATTTGATGCGTATATGAACCAAACAAAATGTTACTAAATGCAAATTAATAACCCCGGTCTTGCAGATGGTTGATGCATTACCGTATTTTTTCTGTTGTGTTATCTTTACACACGTCATGTATATCAGTTGCAAGTCCAATGTGGGTAATAAAAATTACCTTTCTCTAATTTTAATTACAATACAAATCGAAAATATGTGTATGTGTGTGTGCGCGCGCGCGTGCGTGTGTGTGTGTGTGTGAGTGGTGTTGGATTTCTAACGTAGCTTTAACCATTTTTCAGTCATATTGCTACGATGTCTGCATTATGGCTGTTTAAAGCGTTTTCTGGATTTATCCCCAACCCATTCACATGATCCTGACACGTAGCTGACCAGTCCTTGCACTAACCTATTGATGGTAAGAGCCAAGCGAGGCAGATGCTAGTACTATTTTATAAGCTTTTGATATGGCTCGATCTGGGTTTGAACCCTCGACCTCCCGCATACGAAGCGGACGCTCTAATGACTAGGCCACTGGAGCGGTGAAATCGAACGTTTGAGATACACAGTTACAAACAGTGAGCTAAATTACAAATAATCCTCAATGCCCTATCTGTGTCTGTGTGTGTCAGATTGTCCTAGTAGCTGGAACACTGTCTTTTCAACTAGTATGGTGTTTTACTGTTTTACCTGAACAAGAGAACATCTTTGGCAAATTAAAAATAGTTGTAAAGCAACCTGGAATAAATCATCATTGATCCTTGAATGATACCTCTTTTGACCATTGAGGCTGCAGGTTCTTGGTGCGTTGTATGTAAACGTAGTCAGTATCGTTGTGTCTTAAAGTCTTATAGTTTCCTTACCGGTTATTAATGTATTTAACTTGAGCGCAACGTCATAGTCTTGCCCAAGAAAATTTATTTCTGAATTCACTTCATTCTATTCATATCTAAAAGTCTTTAAATGTTCTATCTTTACATGTAGTCATAATCTGAAAACAAGAACAAGCAATTCTTAACATCATCAGTGCATATTACAGTGATCAAATTTAAAAGTTAAAATAAAATGTTCTCTTTTTTATCAAGAAAGCAATTACTTGGGCTCTCGCTCAAGGCTTTCTACTTCTCTGACTTGACCAAAGTGTTTGTTTGAATTTTGTTTGTTTCGCCAACGATCAGGTCAGAAATTTTATGATATCGTCAATTCTCAGTGCAATCCATAACTCTGTTCCCGATTTTACGTTTTCAGTGCGTGTATGACCTGAAAATATCATCTCAGTATATCTTTTCTTCACAATGAAAAAAAAAAATGAATATAATGTTTAGTAAATGTTGAGCTATAAATGAAAGAATAAACAAATAAAGAAAACCCCGCAGAAATAAACATTATTCTTGGAACCTTTCTAAGTAACTGTTCATAAAGATCATCACGACGCAAAGCATTTGCCGACAAAGTGTTGTCAATTAACATGACTCCAATTATCTGCAGCTTCATTACGTAGTTATAGTTACTATGGTTACTATTTATTTAAAGTTCGAAGTTGTCTTTAATTGGATCAATCCCATTAGTGTAATATGCAGTCAAGGTCAGTATTATTCTATCTCTTGTGCCTTTAACAATTTGTGCGTACTATCGTCTGACTGCAAAGAACATAAACAATGATCTACCGTGTCATAATGCGCTGAGAAATCAAGGTTAATGTTGTTTGTTCTACTTGTTACTGTCGACAAAATTAATCTACCCAGATCAGCTGGCTATCAGTGGGACTCGACTTCATAAGCTAGCACATATGGTAGAACAGTTCCGATAGTATGAATTGTTTTCCAAATGATTGTGATGATAATGAAAATCAATAATTGATAAGTTTGATTTGTAAATTTACACATTAAAAGAATATAATATTATTATTTAGATCGGATATTGAAATAAAATATTTAGATTTATTTTATTAATTTCAAAACCGAAGGCTTCTGCAAGCCAAGAGCAAACTACACAATAGCACAGATAGGGGAGCTAACTATTAGGTTCGTGAAGTGAACCACTCGCCCTTTTAATTCATATCACTAGAATGACATCATTCCAGCTTTAAAAGGTGATTATTTTATTTTATTTCATCGCAGTTCATTTTATAAGATGATAAGTTGTATTCGTTTTTAAATTCCACTTTTATTTTATTTTCTGGACAAGAAATGTAGATTTGTTGTATTAGTTAATATACATATACTCGTCTTGTGATGATTCCACCTCCATATTGCTTTGACATATATATGTTCAAAATGCTTAATCGCTTTGGTGGTTTAGAAGATTATCGTGCAATTGTATAGGACACACGCAAACCAGTCAATGGCTCTATTCAACTTCTCTCAAAGATGTGTCCGAGAATCTTATCAACACTGCTTCTCAAGAGCATCGTCGTAGTTAAGATGGAGATTGTACTTCGTGTGCCGCTTAACCTTGATTCATTAGACAATGTTGTGTTAACTATAGCAGCCCCGTGGATTCACAGCTGTAGTCGTGAGATCTTGAAGCGATAAAATAGACAACTTTTTGGATAGATTCTCTAGAATTCGGGAAAATACACCCATGCACTTGCTATTTGGATACTTTGATGTAATGTGATTGACGTTTCTTTGGATATTGTACTTTTGGAATTTGTACATGATCTAAGCACACTGCTACCTAAAATGACTGCTCCCTTGTATTCATAAAGTCAGCCTGAAATAGTTAAAAGTACAATATCCTTTCCAGCCATATGACTAGAGAATATCAACTCTAAAAGTGAAATCAATGAATGACCAAAAAAATGTAAAATAAAGTTATCACCTCTTTTTTTACAATTTACCTCTGAAGTTCAGGATTTGAAAATGGCAAAGTGGAGCTAACACTTTTTTGAAAGGTGCACATTTAGAGTAAAGCTCCTGACTCAATAACCCATGTTACACCCATCAATCATACACCAACATAAAAAGGTTCTTTGAACAATACCTAAGATATACAAGGTCTTTTTTAAATAGCCCGTAAAACTGGTGAGGACAGACTGAAGAAAATCTTTTTCTTCAAAATTCTAACCCTATGCAAAATGCGAAACTGTCGAGTGTCACCTAAAGGAGTCCAACACGTATATGTGCGAAAGGGTCTCATACACAACACAAATGTGAAAAGTCACACACACACACACACACACACATACACACACCTTATCTGGTCTTAGAAACATGGCACCGTTGTACTAAAATAAGTTCGGCCCACATGGAGAGGCACTATGCGATTAGGAATCGCTTTGCGATTTCAGAATACATATTGGAGGTAATTCTATATCCGCTTAAACGACTTGCAATTCCTCTTACACAAATGCTGTAATTGGTGACTTCACCATTTGTTCACAAGTGGGTGCTAATTGCATGCTAGGTGGCTGACCTGGAAAATTGATTCGATCAGACGCTGTAAATGCATTGACGGACCATGCCGAGTAAGGAGTACAGCGTTGTCTGTATACTAACACCACAGGTGTGTACAGATATCAATAAAACAACTTTAAGGCTGCTGGTTATAGTCCTTTTTGAATCGAATAAGCATGCTTCGTTATTCAACGCGGCGATGACAAATAAAAGCCGTGTTACCAACTCATGAGTTCGCTTTGTAATCAGAGATCACTCTAGAGCGCAAGCACTCTGGATCCGTGGTCATGCTTTATAATTCATCAACAATTCCTGCGCTTTCTGGTGCCGAAATTGTCGTTCCGCAAGTGTGCAGTTAAATTGTTCCCCGATAGGTTGATCGCGATGTAAATTAACAGTTCCGAGAAGAATCAGGACAATATGTTTGCTAACAACACAGCAATGGCTCCGTGAAATTCTTTACCCGGATCAACCTGTAACAGACGCGATAATGTTAGCGGCGACTTATATAGATACGACAGTCGCTGAATGTTTAGACTTTAACGAATCCGCTTCATTGTATCTCATGGCAACATCAAAGATAATTAACGCGTCTTGGTATTCACATGCGCACACCCGAATGAGAAAAAAATGATTAGCTTTAGTCTTCGCATGAAACCATCCACGGGAACATTCCCTGCGACATGCAAATAAAATACCATATCGTTTGTTTTGAAACCGTACTCGAACAACCCTGTGACTCGTTAATTTTTCAACAGCTGATTCATCCTACCAATAACCGTCAGGACAAGTTTTGCATCCATGTTTATGATATTACGGTTTTACCTTCAATGACTGGACTTTGTAGATCACCTACTGAAGCTAGCGACAACGAGAGGCCTTGACTTTCAATGCAATATTTACCTACTTACCTCCCTTGATGATCCATCTGATGAATCTTTATCGGAGTATCCAGCCGTATATGTAACTGTCTACAAGGTTCGCAAAAGTTGTATTGATGGAAATGCCTTTTGTAGCTTTGTTTTCTACTTTGCTCCAAATCACACAAGTTTTCGCGATTACGTGTTACAACTCTGTTTGGATTTGTGGTACTAGTTTTCATGCGGCATTGCACACAGTGCAAGAGGCACAGCTGAGCTACATACACAGTAAGTGACATTTCACACGGTATCACAAAAACGGAAATGGTCCCCTTGTACCATCATTGTCTTCTCTGCGCAGATAAAGCTCCAAACCACTAATTGGTTGTTCCAAGATTAGTAGAATCCAACTGAATTCTTTCATTCAAATCCTCATCTGGTGGGACAGGTACAACTAAATTAACTGAATAATTTACTTGGCTATTTCTTTAAAAATAGTATTGCTCCATTAATTTACTTAGACTTGAGTACTAATATTATAATTTAACTCATTTGTTTTCTTCTTTACTTTGTAAGGGTAATAAAACCTTAATTGAAGAAATTCTGCAGAATGAGCAAGAGAGAATGGACTATATTACATGACTCAAAAAATCTCTCTAGTAAAGTTTGGTGAAACCTTAGTTTCACTTCTGACTTGAACTGATGAATGCCAAATTCAAGTATAATAAGCTGGAACATTCCAGACTTGAAATTTGACCTTTGACCAGATCGATCAAATTTGACAAGGCGAAACTAAGCAAAAATCCTCAAAGGAATTACCTCTGGAAAACTTGTTGACGCACACTTGATGGTCAACAAATTTTGGTTACTTCACTTGGTCTTTGGTAAGGGATCAACAAAATCTACCATAATTCTACTGAATGGTTTGTTGAATGCAGAAATTAGGTGCAGATGAGATTTAGGTTTTTTTTTTTTTTGGTTTGCTATTCAATTTGACAAATATGACAAGATCTACAAAACTTTCAAGCATCACTTTTGAATTTTGGCCAATAGAAGTAAGTCAGAATCTTGTGAAATGTTTAATTTATCCCTAAATGACCAGTCATATGAGTTTAATGGGCAAAACAAAGTATTTCTTGTCGGTAAGGTTTCTAAACCACGATCTGATATTTTACTGACCATTCGTCACTAGCAGGTACCTCGGGAGGTCTTCATTTTCTCATAAGAACTCCATTTTAATGAAGTAATAGACAGGTACTTCAGTTGCTTCAGTTTCACTAATG